TTTTTTGCATGAGAAAATGGCATTATCTGTTTGATGTTCCATTTATCTTTGGTTCAATTCACACATGTATCTTCTGTATGCTGATGTTTTGTGTTTACCTGTTTCTTTGTTAATTAATCCTACAACAGTTCTTTTTTTTTACACCAAAAATCATACCTTTCCTACTAAGTTCTTTCATCTTCAACTACCTGTCATCTACTAAATAAAATGTTGGAAAGTGCAGAATAAAATGAAGTATCTATCTATCTGTCTGTCTGTCTGTCTGTCTAGCTATCCTGGCTAAATGTCGCAGGTAAAACCTAATTCTCAAACCATTTGCCCTCTATGCCAGCAGGTGGCAGTATTGAATATGTATTGGAGTACAACAACAGTTTCTATTTCTTTAATGCTTTACTTAGTCCAAACATAAAATCAAACATTCGAATAAGACAAATGATAATAAGCTCTGCTAAAGGGTTTTATAGAATGTTAAACAATTAAGACAAAAATATGATAAAACATCAACCAACAGCAATGTGTCATCTATACAATATGGTAAATTGACAGCAAGTTTATTTTTTTCATATATACATATTTCGAAGTATAGTTCACATGATAGCTTAATAGCAGTCTAAAAATTTCAGAACTTCATGATTTATTGAATGAAAATAGGTCTTTGGCGCACAGAGCAGCTAATAATAACGAATTGTATCATGCTCATTGTATTTATTGATTAAGACTCTCTGGATCCGGGCTCAGCTACAGAACAGTCAGAAAACTAGATTGAAAGTGTTCACTTGTATACACTACCGTTCAAAAGTTTGAATACCTCACGGTAATGCTCAGCAAGGATGCAAGTATATGCTGATTTCCTGCTCAAAAAACATTTCTTGTCAGTGTTGAAAACAGCTGTGCTGATTAATATTTTTGTGGAAACCATGATGCATTTTTTTCAAGATTCTTTGATGAACAGGAAGTACAAAAATAACAGCATTTATTTGAAATAGAAATCTTTCGTAACACTAATGTCTTCACTGTGACTTTTGCAAAATTTTTCATGCTGATTAAAAGTATGAATTTCTTTCAAAAATAAAATCTTACTAACTCCAGACTTTTGAATGGTAGTGTAAATATTACTTACAAATAAAGATGAAATGTGAAAACAAAACATAGCTGCAAGAAGTACAAGTCTGAAGATTCGAAAATAGACAGCATACAATCAGACTGACAGAAAAAAACAAATCTGTCAGTTGAAACCATGAACAAGGAAGAATATGATGCCTTTGCATCAAATAACATAATTTCTGCATATTTCCCATGTTTGCTAAGTGTATTCAACTGACCACAGCTCTTGCTCACTGGCTATTAGCTTCTCAGTTCATTTCTTTATATTGCACTAAAATAGTAAATATAGGTCATCTTTCATGTGTTTACACTTTTTTTACAACGTAAAATTTTCTTTTTCAGATTATTTTACGTTTTAAAACAACAACATCAGCTTTGCATACATGTAGATTAAACATTAATACAGTGTTGTAGCATCTTGTTGCATTTGCTAAAATTATTCTCAACAACATTAGCCGTTTATTTTAGGTGTCAGTTTGTTCAAACTGTAGGAAATTAAGGGCCCTTTTCACCTCAGACAGACAGATTTTAAGAACTGCCACATTACACATTTACACAGAAGCAGTTCCCCATAATTCTTTGCAAGAAAGAATACTGACTGTCTGTAGTTCCTGAATAGTTCCTGCCATTCAAAACAGGTTGGAGATCATGAAAGCACAGAAGGGAGGCTATTTTGGGCTGAGAGGCGGAGACTGTCCGTTACCGTCCCCAAAAAGATTTTTAAGCTTGGAATGAAGATCTTGCCACACCTCACCCATCTAGATCAGAGCAAAATAAGACGCAACAACAAATATTAGAAGGCTTTGTTAGGATCAAAGTAATAAAACTAACTTTGGCACACATTAAAATGAATAGCGTTAACACAGAGATACTAGATAAGCTTATGGTAAGCTTACCTCTTTATGTCCCTGCACCTGTGAGTCTACAAATGCCCCCAGGATGTGAGACGTAATGGGCAGGTATGTAAATATGAGCTGGCTCTCCTGGTGCAGGCAGAACAGGGAGAAGTAGTTGCGCAGCTCCATGGCCTGAATGGCGTTTTCTTGCTGCCGTGAGTCAGAGATCAGAGTGAGGTCACAGTGCGGTCACGTCTTCCCACCCTAACCTCCTTCATCATCATCATTATCATTATCACAATGAGCCACCCAGCAGTTAAAAACCACTGGATCATGACATGCTATTTGAAGGTTAGACAGATATTGTATGTGCCTCACATGATTTGGCATTGCATCAATATCAATCAAGCATGTTTCTCTTGTTCTCCACCTGGCTGGGGCCTTTATGATTATTTTTTTCTAACAAAATGCAACTGATAAATCAAATTCTTAGATGATAAAATGAAATGAATGTACAAAATGGCTGCTCAAATGATCAATTAAATGCTTATATGCAAGTTTGGTCAGTAAACAACAAAACCAAAGTAAAGTTTATAGACATAAAATGAAATGAGTTGCTGGGAATTACTTGGTGGGTTATAAAATATTCTCAGTGCTAGTGATACAATGAAAGTACATTAGCACACAAGTGTTATTAATTCCTATTTCAGTAATATTCAGTAATATTTTTCAATGTTTTTGAAAGAAGTATCTTATGCTCACCAAGGTTGTATCAAAAATGTAGTAAAACAGTAATATTGTAAAATATTATAGCAATTTAAAATAACATTTATATTTTAAATGTAATTTATTCCTGTGATGGCAAAGCTGAATTTTCAGCAGTCGTTACGCCAGTCTTCAGTGTCACATGATCCTTCCATCATATTTTTGTGGGAAACAGTGATACATTTTATTGAATAGAAAGTTCAATAAGACTAGC